AACTGAAAACACAATACATAAATTTTAAAAATCTATTGGATGAGATTAATAGCAGATAGAACAACCCAGAGGAATGGATTGATAACCTTAAAGATAGACCAATAGAAATCATCCAAACTGAAGTACACAGAGAAAAAAAATATTGAAACAAACTCACCAGACTCTCAAAGACCTGGGGAACAATCTTAAGTACTTGTAACTAGGGTTCCAGAAGAAGAAGAGAGAATGGGGCAGGAAATATATTTGAAGAAATGGACAAAATCATTTCCAATTTTGATTAAAAACATCACAGACCACAGATTCAAAAAGCCTAGTAAACCTAAAGTAGTATAATTACAGAGAAAACCACATCTAAGCACATTATAATCAAACTTCTGAAAAGTAAAGATCAAGAGAAAAATTGAAAAGCAGCCAGAGGGAAAAAAGACACGTTACATACAAGAAACAATGGTAAGAATTAGAGCTGACTTCTCATCAAAAATAATGGGGGGCTAGAAAATGATTGAGCAAACTTCTCAGAGTGCTGAGAGAAAAACAATAACAAAACTATCAACCTATAATTCCGTTAAGTAAAAACATCCTTCAAAATTGAAGGAGGAATGAAAACATTCAGATAATGAAAAGCTGAAAGAATTCATCACTAGAAAGCTTGTTTTGTAAGAGATGCTAAGGAAAATTCAGGTGGAAGGCAAATGATACCAGGTGGAAACCTAGAACTACAGGAAAAAAAATATGATCACTGGAAATTATAGATATAAACATGAATATAAAGACATTTTCCCTTACTTTTCTTCAATTCTTTATAAAATAGTTGACTGTTCATAGCAAAAAACAAAAAGCCTTACAATGTAACATGGGATTTATAATTTATGTACAAGTTAAATACACGATGACAATTAGCAAAGGATGGGAGGATGAGTTAAATAAAATTATCCAGCTGAAAGATTTCTATGTTACATATAAAGTGGTGTAATATTAAGTCAAGTTAGACTATAATAAATTAGTGTAGATTATAACTGTGATAGCAGCCACAAAAAGCATAATGCAATTTATTTTGCTTGAAAGCTAATAGAAGAGATAAAATTAAATAGTTTTTAAAATACTTAGCTAACCCAAAAGAAGGCAAGAATAGAGAGGACAAAGAAAAACCAAATAGTGAGATGATAGGCTGCAAACCAGTCACAGCTATAGTTACACTAAATGCATAGTAATTAACCAGTCCATTTAAGAGACAGACATGTTCAGATGTGTAAAAAAAGCAAGACCCAATCATATGTTACTTGTGAAAGCGAAAGCCACTCAGTCCTGGCTCACTCTGACTCTTTGCGACCCCAAGGACTATACTATAGTCCATGAAATTCTCCAGGCCAGAATACTGGAGTGGGTAGCCTTTCCCTTCTCCAGGGGATCTTCCTGACCCAGGAATTGAACTGGGGTCTCCTGCATTGCAGGCAGATTCTTCACCAACTAAGCTATGAGGGAAGCCTGTTATTTATGAAAGACAAGAAAGACAGAAAAGAAAGTGAAGTCCTCAGTCATATCCGACTCTTTGTGACCCCATGGACTGTAGTCTACCAGGCTCTTCAGTCCATGGAATATTCCAGGCAAGAGTACTCTAGTGGGTTGCCATTTCCTTCTCCAGGGGATCTTCCTGACCCAGGGATTGAACCCGGGTCTCCCTCATTGCAGGGAAACACTTTACCATCTGAGCCACGAGGGAAGCCCATTAACATCAAAGTGTACTTCAAAATAGGAGAGAAAAGGATCATTTCACAATGATAAAGGGATCCATTTATGCAGTAGATATAACAGCTCTAAATTATATGAGCCTAAAAACTTTATAAAAAATGGAAATAAAAACCATAAAACTATTTAAATTAAAAACTAAAATGTAAGTAAATATCAAATCACAGGATGGTAAACTGTCTTAAAAATTATGTGAAGACAGAATCTATAAAAGTGAGATTTGAATTCTTTAATATTTGAACTTTGGTATATTAAAAAATAACCAGAGACATAAGAGGAAAAATGATAAATTAGAAAAAAATATATATGAACAGCAAAAAAATCTATGAAAAAATTCTAGGGACATCACCAAATTAAAGCATTTGTCATTCTAGGAAGAACAGTTTCAAACTGAAGGTTTGTACCTGACTCCATCCTAGGCAGACAGTGGGATTAGAGGCATACCTCAGAGATAGTGTTCAGTTCCAGGCCATTGCAGTAAAGTGAGTATCACAAGAGTACACAAGTTTTTTGGTTTCCCAGTGTGTGTAAAATCACATTCACACTATACTGTAGGCCATTATGTGTGCAATTCATATGTGCTAAGTCACTTCAGCTGTGTCTGACTCTTTGCAACCCCGTGGACTGTAGCCTACCAGGCTCCCCTGTCCATAGGATTCTCCAGGCAAGAATACTGGAGTGGGTTTCTATGCCCTCCTCCAGGGGATCTTCCCAACCAAGGGATCAAACCCACTTCTCTATGTCTCCTGCATTGGCAGGTGGGATCTTTGCACTAGTGCCATCTGGGAAGTCCATGTGTGTGACTGCATTATGTAAAAAAAAAAAAAAATACAACTTACATACTTTAATTAAAAGTACTTTATTGCTAAAATATGCTAACCAGAAAAAAAAAAATGCTAACCATCATCTGAGCCTTCAGCAAACTATAATCAAAGATCATTAATCACAGATCCTATAACAAATATAATAATGATGAAAAATTTTGAAATATTGTGAGAATTATAAAAATGCAACATGGACACAGAGTAAACAAATATTGTTGGAAAAATGGTCCCAATAGACTTGCTTGTTGCAGGGTTGCCAGAAGACTTCAATTTGTATAAAAAACACAGCATCTGCGAAGCACAATAAAACAAGGTGTGACCTAAATGTAAGGCCAGAAACTGTAAAGCTCTTAGAAGAAAACCTAGGCAGAATACTCTTTGACATAAATCACAGCAAGATCCTCTATGACCCACCTTCTCAGTTCAGTTCAGTCACTCAGTTGTGTCCGACTCTTTGCAACCCCATGAATCGCAGCACACCAGGCTTCCCTGTCCATCACCAACTCCCGGAGTGTACTCNGCTCAGCATCGCTCATTATTAGAGAAATGCTGCTCAAAACTGCAACGAGGTATCACCTCACATGGGTCACATAGGCAAGTAAGTAAGTGAAGTCACTCTGTCACGTCCAACTCTTTGCGACCCCATGGACCGCAGCCCACCAGGCTCCTCAGTCCATGGGATTTTCCAGGCAAGAGTACTGGAATGGGTTGCCATTTCCTTCTCCAGGAGATCTTCCCCACCCAGGGATCGAACCCAGGTCTCCCACGTTGTAGACAGGCACTTTACCGTCTGAGCCACCAGGGAAGTCAGAGTGGATAGTGTCAAAAAGTCTACAAACAACTGCTGGAAACAGTGTGGAAAAAAGGGAACTTTCTTGCATTGTTGGTGGGAATGTAAATTGATGCAGTTACTATGGAGAACAGTATGGCGACTCCTTAAAAGATTAGGAATAAAACAATCTTATGACCCAACAATCCCACTACTGAGCATATATCCTGAGAAAACCAGAATTGAAAGAGACCCATGTACCCAAAGTTCATTGCAGCACTATTTACAATAGCTAGGACATGAAAACAACCTAGGTGTCCATCAACAGATGAATGGGTAAAGAAGCTGTGGTCCATGTACACAGTGGAATATTACTCAGCCATAAGTGGAACACATCTGAGTTAGTTCTAATGAGGCAGATGAACTACAGTCCATTATACAGAGTGAAATAAGTCAGAAAGAGAAAAACAAATATTGTATACTAATGCATATACAGGGAATCTAGAAGGATGGTACTGATGAACTTATCTGCAGGACAGCAGTGGAGACAGAGACAGAGAGAAAAGCCTTGTGGACATGGTAGGGGAAGGAGAGGGTGGGAAGTTTTGAGACAGTGTGTTATGCAGCAAAAGTTAAGCAGGGCATCTTGCCAGAAAAAGCTTTCTGACTATCCCCAAATTATATGATGAACAGGATGATGATACATGAGAGAAAATAAGCATATCCCTTTCTTAGACCCCTATATCCCTAGGGGCTTAGAATAAACATGTAATTAGCTGAAATGCTTTCTTACAGTCATCACAAAAGTGCATTTTAGAGGTAGAGGTGAGCCAGAGATTCTCTTGATTACTTGGAGTATGGGTTGGACTTTATAGAACCACTCAAAGCCCTCCAGTATATTTCAGGCTGGTCTCTCCCCCACAGCTCTCTGTGGGGTCTCTGAGGGTCTCTTCACCTCCAGCTCTACAAATTTTCTTTTAGGATAGGAAGAGCTAACTAAATACTTAAAATCATTCATCAGAATGAAGGGAAAACTATAACTTCTTTTTTATATTTACTTTTATTACATCTTTTAAAAATTTATGCTTTTGTTTAAAAAATTTTATACACAAAATATATTAGTATAGTACTATAGGCACACAATTTTAAAATTTATAAATGCTCAAAATAACTTTTATAGATAGCATTATAGACATCTGGAGACCCCTAGTATAGACATACCTCTAAATTTCTGAATGTCAGACATGGCAGGACACAGAAAACGTAGCTCAGCTCTAATCCTTCTTGAAGGAAAGTCTCAGTTCCTACATCCCTCAGATCCCACCCTTCTAGGCTCCTTCCCAGGAAACTTCTTCTAATGGGTCTTGGAGCTTATTCTCTAACAGTAATTAATTGAGCACTTGTTCTGTGCCAGAGCTAGTTCCTGGGTATATGAACAGTTCCTGGGTATACGATGAACAAAAATAGCTCCTGGGTATATAATGAACAAGAGTCCTAGGCTCTACCCTCAGGGAACCTGCAAACTGTTTTAGTATTTAGGGGCTGCTATAACAGAATACAATAGAATGGGTGGCTTATGAACAATAGGAATTTATTTCCCACAGTTCTAGAGGTTGGAATTTCAAGATCAAGGCTCCAGAATATTCAATATCTGGTAAAGGTCTGGTTCCTGGTTCATGGATAGCTGTCTTGCTGTGTCTTCACATGGCAGAAGGGCAGAGAAAAGTAAGGACTCTGGTCACTCTTTTAAGGTACTAATTCATTCATTAGGGCCCCATTCTCACAACCTCATCTGATCTTAATTACTTGCCCAAAGCCTCACCTATTAATACCGTTACCTTGGAAAGTCAGGTTTCAACACATGAATTTGGGCGTCAGGGGGACACAAGCATTGAAACTATGGCACAAATTCTCTCATCACAAAACCCCATGTCTCTTCCTGGGAAAAGACAATATATCCACCTCTGTGAAGCAGAATCCCAGCTCTCATCCTTGATCTGGAAAGGGCAGAACACTATATGGTTGCCATAGAAAACTCAGATCCATGTTGATGCATTCATGAATCAGCAAACAGCTGTGGAGAGAAAAAAGAGAAAACCCCAAGGGATGTTTCCTGAAAGAGAAAGACAAAAACATTCTTCCAGTCTGACTTTGCCTCACTCCACCGCTAACGCCAGCCTTTCCCGAGTCACAGCTGGATGAAGAAGGCAAGTGGGGGAGTGCTTTAAGAGTGACAGGACAAGAAAAGACGCTATCTCCCCCTCCTATCCCTTTCTTCTCTCACAGGAGGGTGATGCCAGAGGTCACTGGGCGCTGCAGCACACCAGGCTCCTCTGTCCTCCACTTTCTCCCGGAGTTGGCTCCAATTCATGTCCAGTGACGCAGTGATGCTATCTAACCATCTCATCCTCTGCCACTCCCTTCTCCTTTTACCTTCAATTTTTCCCAGCATCAGGGTCTTTCTCAATGAGTCAGCTGTTCACATCAGGTGGCCAAAGTACTGGAGCTTCAACTTCAGCAACAGACCTTCCAATGAATATTCAGGCATCATTTTACTTTCACTGTTTTTGAAGAGTCACATCGTTTCTAAAACACCCCACCACTTTCTTTCCTCTCTTCCATACTTTCCCCCCCTATTACTTTCTTTCTTCAAAGTTATGCCAAGAATGGAAAAAGGGAAAAGTATGCTTTTATAAGATGTGCTTCATGAGTGTTGGCAGGAAAAGAGACAAATGATTTTTTAAAGTTGGTATATTTGTCTTTTTATTATTGAGCTGTAAGAGGGTTTTTAAAAAAAAATTAATTAATTGGGTCAAACAAGGCCTAAGTGCAAAAACCAAGAACCTCCGTGGGGCTTCAAACTCCTAGGTGCTGCATGTGGGATGTAGTTCCCTGACCAGGGATTGAACCAGGACCCCCTGCATTAGGAGCTCAACATCTTAGCCACTGGACCACCAGGGAAGTCCTGAGACAAATAATTTTATTTCATATTCTTCCTATGGGCCAAGGGAAGTAAACAGAAGAGAAGTGACTTTGTATCATGTTATTTAACTACTGTTAACTTTACATGATGGCTTTTAAGTTATAAGCTATCAAGGAGAAGAGTAAACACAACCCAAGGACTTTGCATCCTCTTCTGGGTAAAGATTTGTGCATTTTCAGTTGATGCAGAATAGTTGCATTATGTTAGATAGAAATATGACTTTGTCATTGTCTTCATATATTTAAAGATTAAGGAGATGTGTATGGATGCCAAGTTGATAAAGGGAGGGCCTGTGATGGTTAGTTTTATAAGTCAGCTCGGCTGGGCCACAGTTACCAGACACCAGGTCAAATATTATTCTGGATGTTTCTACAAAGGTGTTTTTTGGATGAGATTACAATTAAATTGGTGAGCTTTGAGTAAAGCAGATTACCCTCCATAATATGGGTGGGACTTGGCCAATCAGTTGAAAAGCTTGATAGCAAAGACCTCCCTTAAGCAAGAAGGAATTCTACCAACAAATGGCCTTTGCACATAAACTGCAACTCTTCCTTGGAGCCTGATAGCCTATCAGATCAGAATTTGGATTCATGATCCTGTGAGTCAATTCCTTAAAATAAATCTCTCTGATGTACTTGGCAAGATGCATGAACAATTTCTGAAAGCTCCATACTTGTGTGAGCTGCCCTGCAGTCTGCACTGGGCTGTCGGTGCCCACCTGTCTTCACCAAAGGAGACAGGACTGTAAGCCTGGAGTCTCATGGAAAGAAGTTAGGATAGTTCAGTCCCCAACCCCATCTGATTGCTGCTTCGCCAGCCAAATGCTACAAATAATCTTTCAAGTCAAGTCTCTTGCTTATCTATTACAACTCTATCATACTTCACCATTTGCTAAACCATTTCAGAATTTTTAAAAAGGAATTAATAAAAACATGAAAATATTTTGGAAGACATTGCCAACATAGAAATCCAACAAAAAGATCAACTCTCAATTTGCAGAAGTTTACAAAAAGAATAACTTAAGAACAAAAGGAGTAGAATTCTTTTTTTTTTTTAAGAGAAGGAAAAAATCAGAATTGTCAAAAAATATGTCATACACTGAAAATCACATCAGCAGAGTCTCTGGAAAAGTAAGTATCAAAAGAAATTCTGAGACACAGATTCTTCAACATTTTCAACTACAGGGAAAGATAAACTGACACATTTCCAAACAAGAACCTTTGGCTAGTGTTCACAGGAACAAGCCCTCAGGCTGAGCTCTAGATTTCCCACCTCTCAGCAATTAGTTGGAGGTGGGGGTTGCGGGGGGAGAGGGGGAGTTGCAGGTAGCATCTTCACCTGAAGATTGAGTTGAAAGGTGTGACTTAAAAGTGACACATTATACCTGGTTTTCATTTTTGCAGGAAGGTAGCAGACTCTTTGTACTGTCTAAACTCAGCCCACAGCCTTATGCCAAGGGGACTCAAAGAAGCACCATAGAATACTAAAGGTTGTAGTTAGATAACATACTTTGGTATCTAGTTATTTTTATTGAAGAGAATGTATAGTAACTTCCAAATACCACCAGAAAAGTAACTGATTTTGCTTTAAATGTTGCAATCAGTAAGGCTTCAAAGCAAATAAAGCAACCTAAAAGAGAAGAAATAATGGGGGATGGAGAGGAACTAATTCTTTTTTTTTAACTAATTAATTTGTTTGTCTGCATCAGGTCTTAGTTGAGGGGTTGCAGCAGGGGCTTAGTAACCTTAGTTCCCTAACCAGGGATTGAACCTGTGTCCCCTGCATTGCAAGGCAGATTCTTAACCACTGGACCATCAGGGAAGCCCCTCAGATTCTTAAGAACAGGAAAATTTAAGGAAAGTGACAAGCTATGTAGACCCGAAAGTCAATGTTGCTTATCTTCTTAAAATGAGGTGCCCCAAACTGCAATTAATGCAGTAGTTTTGAATTAAGAATGATTTATGTTGTACCCCTGCCACTGCACATGACTTTGCCTTTAGTAGACAAGAGACAGGACCAGACTTACATTTTAAAATGTCAAAAATAAAATGGATCCTTTCTGTTGCTTTTTTTATGCTCCTGGTCTCTCACTTGAGCTAATATTGAGATCAGCATGTTTCCTGAATCAGAAGAGTGTGTGCTGGCAGTATATCTCTGGGAGAAGATGCCCTCGGCAAGTGTGGGCACAGTGCTGTCATTATCACAGAAGCTGTATCTGGTTATCACCTATAACAACCACAGCCATTAAGATCTAAGTCCAGGATTACCAAACAACTTTGATTATAAGTAACCCCTCTTAGAGCTTTATCTCTAGCAAGATACTAAGCTGATCACGGAACCTTATTTTTTGTTGTAAATCAAGAACTTAGTATTATGCTTTTGTTTTTCTTAAGTGTGTATTTCTATGAATCCCCAATCTGCTATCTTTCTTTATTATTTTGATATAAGCCTATAATCCCTTATCTACTACTCTGAAATCCAAAAAATGTTGTTTTTTTCACTTGGCAGCAAAACTTGACATGAACAGATGGAAGCTATTTATAGTCTATCCTCGTCAAGAAGAATACTCATATATTTTGCTGCAGAAATGTAATGTGTTTGATTACAAGGTATACTGCATCTGTATATTATTGAGATAAAGTTTTTGTCCTTTTTCTGCATGTATTGAGATAATAGTGTGTTTGTCCTTTATGATGCTTTATTGTGAATTATACTGATGATTTCTTAATGTTAAATCTAATTTACTTGTAACATATTATTTTTAATATCTTTCTGGATTTGGTTTCCTAATATTTCACTTAGGATTTTTATATCTATGTTCATGAGAGATTAGCCTGAAATCTACTTTTGTAACATTTCTGTCAGATTTTGAAATGAAAGTTTATGCTGGCCTTATGAAGTGGATTGGAAAGTGTTCTCTATTTTCTGGAAGAATCTGTGTAAGATTGGCATTATTTCTTCCATAAATGTTTGGCAAAATTCACAGGCTTAGAGTTTTCTTTGTGGGATTCATTTTTTTATTGTTATGGAGCTATCCATAATTTTCTATTTCTTCTAACATAAATTTTGATGAATTGTATTTTTATAGGATTTTTTCATTTCATCTAAATTTTTAATGCTATTGGCACAAAATACTTATAATAATTTTCTATTATCTTTCTATTATTTGCAGGATCAATAGAGATGTTTCTTTACATTCCTAGTGTTGGTTATTTGCATCCTCTCTCTTCTGTCAGTCATGTATCAGTATTATTAGTCTTTTCAGAGAACCAAATTTTGGCTTTTTTGTTCCTCTTATTATGCTTGTTTTTTAATCTCATTAATTCCTTTGATTTATTCTTTTCTTTCATCTACTTCCTTTGAGTTTATTTTGCTGTTCTTATAATTTCTAAAAATAGATGCTTAGTTCATTTATTTTTCAGCTGTTCTTCTTTTTGAATAATTCATTTAAAACTAATAAATTTCCCTTTAAGAAGCTTCATTACACAAGTTTTGATATGGACTATTTTATTATTATGCAATTCCAAATATTTTCAAATGACCATTATGATTTATTCTTTAACATGAATTAAATGGAAATATATGCCTTAAGTTCCAAGCATATATGGATTTCTAGTTTGTGTTGTTGGCGGTTGTTAGTTGAGTTTTAGTATAACTGAAATGAAGAAAAAAATACACTTGATATGATTTCAATCTTTTTGAGACTTGTTTTATAGTCCTTCATTCCTGCCATGTATTTTTGCCAGGCTGGTAGTTATTTTCTTTCAGCTCGTTGAAGATATCTGTTCATTATCTTCTAGCTTCCATTTCTTCTGTTGAGAAACCAACTCGCTATTTGGCTGGTAAGGAAACTGATAACATTGGACCATTTCACTCAAAAATTCATCCTGAAAATAAGAATATATATATAGCTGAATCACTTTGCTATACAGCAGAAATGAACACAATATTGTAAATCAATTATAGTTCACTTTTTTAAAAAAAGAAAAAAATGCATTGTGATGGTGACTGACGTGTGTTCTGGGTAAGAAGTGTGTCTTTCCTGCTCACCATGCCTGAACCAACCCCGTTAATCAAGAACTCATGTTCCACATAATGTTATCCCAGGCCAAAAAACCCACTTTATGTCAAAGAGGGTGTGACAAGAAGCACATGACCACAGGATCTATGGGATCTACCATATGCCATGTCATCCAGAAGCTGCTCATCTAAGAAAGTAGGGTAAGTGTTTTTTGAAGGCATGCTAAGGAGCCAGCATGGAGACAATGAACTGTCTTTGAGGATGCCATGTACATCTTAAATCAATGGTCATTAAACCAATGATGCTGGATCCTTACAGATAGAACACATGCGTCCAGGAACAAAGTTGGAGGAGTCTAGTTTACCATCACTCCCAGCACCTCCCTTGGGTAATTTTTACTTCTTATCCCTATGACCCTTTGATTTCTGCAAGTCTAGAGGTATTGGTTCCACCGAAAACTGGCTCCTCCCTAATCACTGTGTTCTCCTCAGGTCCACAGGTCACCTGGTAAAGAAAGAAGTTGGGACACTTACAAGAACAATTGATCCTGACCCTCTTGAGGATATAGTTTACTGCTACTTTATAGGGGCAAAGAGAAGTGTGTCTGGAACTCAGGGAACCACTGAGGCATCTCTTGGTGCTCCTGTGCCCATCCTGCAAATGGGCAATTTATATTAACCATGCCTGACAAAGGTGTGACAACCCACCTAGGCCTGCAGAAATGCTAGCCGAGAATGAAGGGAATATAGAGTGTTGTAGGTGAATATCTTACGGCATCAGGACCAACTGCAGTTGTGGGTACACAGACTGCCCAATTAACTCTCCTCTTCCAAGTTTTCCACATGAATGGTGACTAACTGCTACCTTGAAATATGTGTTGAGATAGAGTGAACTTAAAAGAAAACTTAAGTGGATAGAAGGACAAAAGGGGTGGGCTATAAAGGACAATATTGGTGTCTTGCTCAACAAAGCCTCTTACCCCTTGGTTTTCTTTTCAAGATTTCTGTGTGTGCCCTTGGGCTAACTCTGCTTTCATTTCCAATGGTCAGCACCTATGACGTTCTTTTAAGGATTGCCCTCCATCCTCATTGAGAGCTAGAGGATCTGAGTTTATATCCTGCCTTACCCCCTTCCAAAGGAAGTCCTTAATCAAAAACTGTAGGCGGCAGGTTTATGAAAGCCCAACACCATCTCTTAGGGGTGTGAATGACAATCTACATGCAATCTTGAGACATCGCAGTTCCAGCACCTTTGTATCTCTTATGATGAACTCTCTGTCTCTGTCTCTCCCCCATCCCCTATTTATTACAGTTAAGTGTTTTTGAAGTGTTACATTTGTACTGCGAATTTGAGATGGTATTCTTGGCCTCTGTGGCATAAAAAGAGATCTAGGCATTTCTAAAAGTTGATCAGCTCCTATTTATTCATCATTTAGCCGGAAGGACTTTGAGAGCTAAGGCTGTCCAGCTTCTCAGAGTTATGTGTTGTATGTGTTAGTCACTCAGTTGTGTCCAGCTCATTCCAACCCCTGACTGTAGCCTGCCAGGCTCTTCTGTCCATGGAATTCTCCAGTCAAGAATACTGGAGTGGGTTGCCATTCCCTTCTCCAGCAGATCTTCCCCACTCAGGGATTGAACCTGGGTCTCCTGCATTGCTGGCAGATTCTTTACCATCTGAGCCACCAGGGAAGCCCTCTGAGAGTTATATAAGTCTGCAAAAATCATGTAACCTTTTACTGATTCATTGATATGGTTACCCTTCGTTCTGTAAACCATCCATAGCCTATAATATCAGCAGCCTGCAACATTCACACTATACATGCTTAGCTATTTTGTATTGTTGGGATGGGCCTGAGCATCCCCATTTTCATAAAGCTCCATCAGCGTTCTTGACCTGCTCCTCCAATTGAGAGTTGCCCAAGAAAGAAGGAATCTGGGCATACATAGTAAAAGACCCATCCAGCTATGGCTCCTATGCATAGTTTATTACATTTCTACCATCATCTTCAATTCTTATGTTGATTTTTTTCTTATCAAGGTATTTCTTTCTTTGGAATTATTAATGCTTGATAGCACCCCTCATCCACTTCCTTTCCTCCCCTTTCTCATCCCTATAGTCTAACATTTGCACTAAATGTCCCTGATTAAAGGCACAAATGTACCTCTCTCAGTCCCCAAATCAGATGCTAGACTCCTAGACTCCTATGGTGGTGGTTTAGTCGCTAAGTCGTGTCCAACTCTTTGCAGCCCCATGAACTATAACCCATCAGGCTTCTCTGTCCATGGGATTCTCCAGGCAAGAATACTGGAGTGGGTTGCCATTCCCTTTTCCAGGGGATCTTCCCAACCCAGGAATTGAACCTGGGTCTCCTGTATTGCTGGCAGATTTTTTACCTACTGAGCTACATGGGAAACCAGATGCTGCTTCTGTCCAAATGTAGCCTTCCTCTAGCAGGGCTTGTGTCCTCAAGAGATAAGGTGTGGCTGGGATTCAGGAAGTTCAGGAAGGGGCCTGAGCATCCCCCTCTTCATAAAGCTCCACAGGTATTCTTGACCTGCTCCTCCAGTTGAGAACCGCCACCCGAGAAACTCTGTACCTGCTTCTCTCTGCTCCTCTCCTCTCTTGCTACCAAATGGACACTCCTCACCATGAGGAAGAGGACATTCCAGCTCTGAGAGCGAGTAAAAGACTCACCAACTCTGAGAACTTTCTTTGTTCTGGGATAAGTTCCAGATTGGGTTAGAGTGTCCTTTTGCAATCAAAAGAGGTTAAGTAATACAACTAGTAAACTGTGACAGCTAATTTTGTGTGTCAACTTGGCTGGGCCATGGTACTCAGATATTTGGTCAAACGCCAGTCTGAATGTTGCTGGGAAGGTATTCTTTACATGAAATTAATATTTAAATCAGGCGTTGAGTCAAATAGATTAACCCTCATAGTGTGGGTGGGTCACATCCATCAGTTGAAGGTCTTAAGAAAAAATAGCCTGAGATCCCCAAGGAGGAGGGAACTCTGCCTCCAGACTGTCTTGGAACTTGAGCTGTAACACAGTTCTTCCCTGGATCTGCAGCACGGCAGATTTAAAACTTACCAACCTCCACAACGCCACAATCACTTGAGCCAATTCCTTAAAATCTCTCCTCTCCTTCTCTCAATAGGTAGTTAGAGAGATAAGTAGATTAAAGATACAGGTTCTGTTTCTCTGGAAAACCGTAACACATGCAGTTCCTGGTTTTTCACCCATTGCTATTAGCTCCTGGAGCAAATCTGACCTCTGGATGCACAGAATTGTGCCCTGAAAGAGGCTGCAGCTTCTGGATGACAGGAGACTGGCTCATTGGAATGAAACCCAAGAGCAGGACCAGATGGTGGTGTTAACACTCTCATAACTGTTACCCGACAGGTTTAACATGGTGTGCAATGAATAACTTTGAAGAAATGTGCATAAATTTTTAAAAGGTACTTTATCAATAAGCAAATGTCCTGGTTTTGTCTTCTTTTTTTTCTCTCTCTTGTCCCAAGGAGCAAAGTCCCTCTGACAATCAGGCTCATGACTCTCAATGATGAATTTCTGATACAATTAGCTTCTTTCTAACTGGTTTTCTTCAGAGTTCACAGGAGCAAAAATTCTTTACAGCAAAAATCTATGAAACCTGAAACTTGTCCCAGGCTTCTCAGCCTGATGGGGAGGCCCCAGGGGAAAGGCTGTTAGAAGCAAAGAAAGAACTGTCTCTATTCTCTTGTTTCTCACAGGTTTCCCTAAAGCATTCCCTTTATGCAATAGCCCTTCTCCCCTCCCCCAGTGATTAAGTCATCACAAATTCCTAATCTAACTGCTTGAGAGAACTTGTTTGTCAATCCTAATCTAACTACTTGAGAGAACTTATTTGTCAAAAGTGCAAGGAAGACAAACACTCTGCATTTTTTAATTCCTGCCTGAACAGGATCATAAACATTCTAATTTCTAGCCTACCTGGTTGAATACAGTGAATCAGTGTTGCAGTGATCTGAGCAGAAGCGCATTTAGACCTAAATCAAGTCAGTGACTCACTTTCCAGCCCCTCACAAGAAGAACCTGATATTCTAGGCACACAACTATTTTGATGGGGTAGTGAGGAGACTGTGACTCACGCTAAAAAGGATCATCATGTAACATCAGTGTTGCTACTGGACCCCACAGGAGCTTTGGAAGCTGTGATGGAAAAAAAAAAGCTTTGGAAGCTTTTTTAAGCTGCGATGCTGTGATATCCACTGCATAACCTATCTGCAAATTGAAAACAAAGGCCTTTAAATGGGGGGCTGGATGGGAATTTTGGAAATCTAGGGTTTCAGGGGCGAACAGTAATTGTTTAAGGAAAATTGAGGAAAACCTTCCTCTTCCCAAGGTTTGCGGTCGGGGTGGGTATTAATATCAAAGAAATCTCTTCATAAATCTCCTCAGAAGTGCAGTATGTCCTTGTCCATACTCTGATTCCTGTTTTGTGTCCTTAAAATGAGTGAGAGATTTAAAAGTCATAGAACACGCTTGTATTTTCTTTGAATATTTGCATATGATCACCTGGCTTTAGAATCTCTCAATCTAGAGCATCTAGACACCTTGATCAAAATTTCAATTTTAACACTCTGCTACATAAACAAAATAAAAATGGAATTGTAAGGAGGTAAAATGAAAGTCACTCAATTGTGTCCGACTCTTTGTGACCCCACGGACTTCACATTCCATGGAATTCTCTAGGCCAGAATACTGGAGTGGGTAGCCTCTTCCTTCTCTAGGGGATCTTCCCAACCCAGGGATCAAACTCAGGTCTCCTGCACTGCAGGCGGATTCTTTACAAGCTGAGCCCCAAGGGAAGCCCACAAGGAGGTAAAGGCAAGTCTGAAAACATAAGCGGAGATACTAAGATGTTTTTGGGAAACTGAAACCAAGTAGACAGTATCAATCAATACATTAAAAATATTTAGAAATAAATTTAACAAAACATGCACAAAAATGTTTATAGGAAAATTTAAACTTGATTGAAAGACATAGAACCAAAGGTGAATATAAACAGATGCTATGTTTCTGGATGAGAAACTTTAAATTATAAGGATGTCAATTATTCCTCAAATTAACCTATGAATTCAATGGAATCTCAAATGAAATCCTGGCAGTATTTTCAGGGAACTTGACTAAACTGTTCTAGA